TCTTCCTGTACCCGGGTTTTACACCGCAGGCGAGGCGCTTGGCTGCTGCGCGGATGGCAGAAAAAGCGGTATTGCCCTGAAACGGCCATTCCCACAACGCGGCTTTGCAGCCTGTAGAGCTGCCCCGGCAGGGGAGAGCCGGGAGGGGGAGAGCGGGGCGGGGGCCGCCCGGCGGCTGCCGGCCGTGCCAGCAGGCAGAGCACACGGGCCGGCGAGGGGCTCGCCAGGTCGGGCTGGGAGCGGAGAGCCTAGCGAAGAACAGGGCACCGCTGCGCGAAGCCAAAGAGCTTGTTCTCCCGGAGCGGAGCTGCAGCGCGGGCCGGGCTGCGTGTTGCTCCCCTTGCAACCTGCAGCGCCTTGATCCTTCCCGCAGCATCCCCTCGGTCCCCCCGCCGCCATCCCTCAACTCGCCCGACCTTCTGTCTTCTTGGCCCCCCGCCAGCCCCGCTTCGGGCTTTGTGCAGCGGGTTGCGCAAGGAGCCCTGCGGACGCCCCGGCCCCGCGCGTCCCAGAGCCACCCACCGCCCCGACGGCTTCGGCTCCTTCGTGCTTCGGGCTCTGCGGGGGAGCGGCCGCTGCCAGGGCAGCCCCTCACTGGGGTTTTTGGGCTCGGCACGGGGCGCCGTGTCCCGGCGAGAGGCGGCAGCGAGGTTTGCTCCTGCCTGGCAGAGCTGCTGGCAGGCAGCGCCGGTTTTGGGGCTTCTCCTGTAAGGGAGCAGAGGTAGCTGTAGGGGTGAGATCCCCCGTAAGCGATGGCAGGGCAGGGGCTGCGCAGGCTGGGTACGGGGCTGCACGCCCAGCCGCCGCAGCTGGCTCAGGGCTGCACGCATGGCGCGGGGCGCAGAGCTGCCCAAACCCGTCCCTGCCTCCCGCGCATGTGCCCGGCTCCGCGTCTCGCTCGGGAGCAGGGACGTCCATGCGTCCTGAGTGCCAGCCGCCCTGGCACAGCCGCCCAACCCTTGGGCCAGCGGGCAGAGCGCAGCCCCCAGCCTCGTGCAGCTCGCCCTCCTGCTCTGCTGCAGAGGTGCCTCTGGTCCACGGCTGTCCTGGCAGCTCTTCCACCTGCAAACCCCCTTCCCAAGAGGAGGTGGCCGGACCAGCTCCCAGCAGAGCCACGGGAGCTGCTGGCAGCATCCCTGGAGCAGGCGAGGGCACGTGGCACTGCAGCGGAGGGGCTGGGGCCGTCCCACCCTGCCCCTTGTGCCCTGAGACTGCAGGAGCCAGGCAGGGCTGCCCCTTCTGCCTGCAGCACAGGCGAGGTGCCATCCCCTCCCCGGGTTGCCCCGCTCCCCTCAGCAGGGTGGCCAGGGCCGATGCTGGCGGGGGGGGGTCCCATCTACAGCCTTTTAATCAAGTTTTCCAGCAGGGAGAGCTGCCAGAACCTTGGGAAACAGGGGCATGCCCAAGACACATCCCGGTGCCCCCCATCCCGCTCCCAGACACCCCCAGTCCCTGTGGGACACGCTGGCAGTGCCGTCCCCGGAGCCATGGGTCCGCAGCACCTCCCACCCCATATGACCTTTTGCCCAGAGAGGGCTGGCAGGAGTACGATAATATTTGTATACCTAAAAGTAGAACGATTGATCCCGCTGCTGTTTTGCAACGTGTTGACAACCAGGCGGTGCAGAATTGTATAAGTGCACACGGAGCTGGCAAGTTTGTGTTTCAATCATATGAGTGCTGTTGTGCAACGCTTCCCCTCCGCGGCCCCGGAGGAAAGCGGGCGCGCGGGGGCTGCCGGTGCCGCGGCAGAGGCTGGCGGGGGGGGGCCGGGCCCGCCCAGGGGCTGCGGGGGGTCTCCCCCCGCGCCCGGGAGGAAAGGGGGCCGGGGGGGGCCGGCCGGTGCCGCGGCGGGGGCTGCCGTGTGCGCGCCGAGCCCGCCAAGTGCTTGCGGTGATCCCGGTCCCCACGGCTCTGAGGGCAACGGATGCAAGCGTTATTATCTCAGGTCTCAAGTTCGGCTTTCAAAGTCACCCACAAATGACGCAGCGGGATCCTTGCTCGTTGCCCCTCCCTGTCCAAGATAAATCACCCGGTGCTCGCAATTCGGAGCCAGTTCCTCAGGCGCAGGAATCCGCCCTGGGCTCCCAATGCCCTCGGAGGCTCTTTGCGGCCGGTGCATGGCACCCGGGTGCAGGAGGGTTTGCAGGAGCCCTTGCAGAGGAAAGCCAGGCCCCTTCGTGGCCGCTGGCCAGCAGAGCCAGCAGGCTGTGCCAAGCAGAGGGAGAGGCCGGGGTGCCACCACCGTGCCTGTGGGAGGTAGGTGCCTTCATCCCCCTCGGCTGCCTTCGCCTCCCGGCACAGCCTGTGCTGCTGACTTCATGGAAATACAGCGCCGTTATCCCAGTGCAAACAGGAGCTGGGCTCACGCCAGGGAGCGGCCGGGGCTCACCTGGAGCGGGGACGCGGCTGCTAGCGGAGCCCAAGGCAGGGCGAACGCCGCAGCCGGAGCCGGGACGGGCTGCGGTGCTGCGGGCAGGGGATGGGCAAGCGGCGGGGATCCTGGCCTGCGGGATCCGGGTAATACCAGGAGTAAGAACCCCCCAGGTGGGAAGGTTTGCCCCCCCTCAGCGCTGCTCCCCGGCTGCTCGCTCCCTGCCCACCATCACGCCGTGCCCTCACCAGGCGTCTGGAAAGGACCGTGACCAGGCGCGAAGCCCAGGCCCCGAAAGGCTCCTGAAGGATCCGGCCCCAGCTGCGTCTCACAGCTCCCACTCAAAGCACCCCGTCACCTTTCCAGCCTGAACATGCCCGGCCTCAGCTCACCGCGGCGATTCCCGGTACGCCGCCGGCAGCAGGGCAGCCTAGGCAGCCGCTCGCTCCCGGTCCGTCCTCCATCCTCACTGCCGTAACCAGGCTCAGCCCAAGTTACCTCACCGGCAGCGCTGGGAGAACTGGGGGCCGGGGGGCTGCGCTGGGAGCGGGCAGGGGGCCGTGGCAGCCGCCAGCCTGGCTTTTCTTGTACAGCCACCAGCCGGATTTGATTGTTGGTGGTTTCTGGATGAATTAAACCCCCCCCGTCGCTGGGATGGGGGGGTCTGGGGACCGGTTCCACCTCTGCATCCCTGCATCCCCGCATCCCAGGGGGATGCAGGGGAGGGCAGGACCAGAGCGGGGCATCTCTGTGGTGGGCTCGGCTGCAGGAGCACACGTACCGGTCCCGCTGGGATGCCATAGCCCGAGCCCCCCGCCTCGCTGCCACGGCCCCGTGCTCGGCTCTCAGTG